CATTTTACCCAGAGCTTATTAGGATGTCAAATATATTGATTTTCTGAAGGATGTTTTCAAAACAGTATATTTAAATACCATCTGTCATTAGACTCTGATCAGATATTTCTTACACACTTTTCTTAAAATTTTTTACAAAATATTATTGTTTATCTACATTGGAAGTATGCTAGGATCCCAAAGAATTAACATATATTGGCTCAAATACACAATCTATCAGGAGTCTCTAGTTTGGTCAATATAATCTAGCACATTAAATGTTCTAGCATCAGGGCACAGTGGTTAGTGTGCAGGCCTAGCTTGCACTGATCCCAGATTTGATTCTAACTTTACATTGTCTCATGAGCATCACTGGGTGCAGCCTTGGAGGTCTAGAGAACCACAGGATGTGTCCCTGAAGGCCCCAAACACATCTGGAGTGACCTGGGCTACCCCCCAGGTACAAGGTCAGAGCTACATCGCATCCTTGGCCCTTGCATTGAATCACAGTTTGTGTTGACCAATAATTGCTGGTGGGGTTCCCAGACCTTCTCAACACTCTCTTAGGAGTCCTCCACCCCCAATTTTCTCATCTATTTGATCTCGATCACGATCACGACCATCCTGTTGTTTGTTGATTTCCTCAAGCAGGCCCCAGTAACGTCTCCTTCGTCCTAGCCCTGAGATTTTTTAAAAAGTGCCATATTAAAGGATCTTCCAGGGTTAGGAGAATGAGACCCACCATGGTTACTGGTATTTGGCATATTGGGTACACCACGGGGAGATTGCCAGACTCTGCCGTGAGGGCGGGTTACATTCGGTAGTCTGCCATTTTGTCTATTTGATCTATCTCTCTAAAAATAATATAACAAAGCCCAACAATTAAATCCCCAATTCTATAATCAGGCCTTCCAGAAATCTTTGATTCACTGTAATGCCACTTTTATAAACATTGCATTGGTATCCTTTAAGTATTCTGCCCCCCCCAACCCCCAAGTAAATCATTGCTAATACATGACAGTGTGCTTTTCCTGCCAACTTTATGGCTTCTGGTCTTATAATTAGGCCATTAGACTAGTTGAGTTCATTTTTATGAATAGTGTAAGAGAGCAGGGTTTATTTTTATTCTTTCACATGTGAATAACCCATTGGCTCAGCACCATTTCTTAGAGCAACTTTCCATAGAGTATTTGCATATATACAAGGGTGAATTTCACCTCCATTTGATTCCCTGTGTGTTCTTTCTTATGCTGTTATCATACAATTTTGGTTATTACTTGATCTCTACTATTGCTTCAAGTTAGAAAATGTGGTGCCTCCTACTTACTCTTCTTTCACAGGCTTGCTTTTTCTATTTAGGGTCTTATGTAATTTATGTAAATTATAGAAATTGTTTTCATTCTGTAAAAAATGCCTTTGGACTCTTTTGTGGATTGTATTGAATCTGCAGATGACTGGATAGGATCACTGTATCACTGTCATCCCATTGTTCATCAATTTACTCAAATGGGCGCCAGTAATGTCTCCATTTGTCCCAGCCCTGAGATTTTAGCAGCCTCTCTTACTCGTCTTTCCAATGCTGTCATATTGGAGGCTCTTTCAGGGTCGGAATGAGATCTGCTATTGTTATTGTTTTTGGCATATCAAATATGCCAGGGGGAGCTTGTCAGGCTCTGCTGTGAGGGCGGGATACTCTCAGTAGCTTGCTGGGCTCTCCAAGATATACATATAGATAGATAGATATTATATATGATTATTATATCTATCTATCTATCTATCTATCTATCTATCTATCTATCTATCTATAAAATGAAAAGTGGGTAGGGAGTGGCTTTCATAGTGTAGTCCAGGAATATGTTCCTCATATGTGAGGCTCGGCCAAGCGAGTGGAAAGAGGCCTGGAACGTGGCAGCAGTTGGGTAGTGGATGTCAGCTGCTGGGGCTGGGTCTCTTGAGGTGAGGAGGGTTCTCACCCGCTCCTCTCTCGGGCACCCTGAGTTGAAAGCAGCTGACACAGAGTCCGGTGGCATGGTTATGGAGGCCTCATTTTATGCTCCCTTTCGGAAGAAGCAGCTGTGATTTTTGGAGGGTGGCTGGTGAGGAGATTATCTGGTGATAAGGAGAGAGGAGGGGAGGGGAGGGGAGGGGAGGGGAGGGGAGAGGAGGGGAGGGGAGGGGAGGGGAGGGGAGGGGAGGGGAGGGGAGGAGGGGAGGGGAGGGGAGGGGAGGGGAGGGGAGGGGAGGGGAGGGGAGGGGAGGGGAGGGGAGGGGAGGAGAGGGGAGGGGAGGGGAGGGGAGGGGAGGGGAGGGGAGGGGAGGGGAGGGGAGGGGAGGGGAGGGGAGGGGAGGGGAGGGGAGGGGAGGGGAGGAGAGGAGAGGAGAGGAGGCTGGATAGAACAGACATTTTAATAATATTTATTCTTACAATCCATTAGCAATCCATCAGATTTAGAGTATCTTTGCATCTGTGTCTTTTGATTTCTTTCATCGATATTTTGGTGTTGTCAGAATAACCAGACTTTTCAACTCCTTGGTTAAATTTATTCTGAGGTACTGTATGATTTTTTTATGTTGTTGTAAATGGAGTAATTCTCTTCATTTCTTTGTCAATAATTTATAGTTAGTACATAGAAATCTATGAAGTTTGGTCATTAATTTTGTATGCTGCATCTTTACTAAACTTATATGATCCTACCAAGCATAAAAAATTTCTGTTGAGAAATTTGTTGGTACTCTTTTGGGATTTTCTTGTATGAAACTATCTATTTTTTCTTTTTGCTTTAAAAATGCTTTGTCTTTAACTTTTGATAACTTACATACTCTATATAACCCTATTTAGGCTCAATTAATTAGGTTCTTCTGAATCTTGTATGTGGATGTCCATTTCTTCCTCGGAATTGGGACATTTTCAATTGTCACTATTCTAAATATACTTTCTGTGCCTGTATATATTTTCTTTTTGTAACATACCATATATCTGAACACTACTATTTTTTCTCTTTGTTCCTCTGCCTGGATCATTTCACATTTCTTCTTTGTCACTGATAAATTCTTTTGTATTATTAAATCTGCTTTTGAGTGTCTTTCCACATCATCAGATTATTCATTGCTGTTTACAGTTCTAGGATTTCTGAGGAACTGTTGTTATTTTGTTTGTTTTTGAGATACACCTAATGGTTCTTGGAATTCATTCCCAGCATATTTGGGGGACCACGCTGTGACAGGGATTGAAGCCAGGACCCCCCCACATACAAAGCAGACACTCAACCCATTGAGTTATATCTCTAACCATTGTTTTTTTCCCTGTTTTTTTAATGGTTCCCATTTGTTGCATTTATCATTTTGTTCAAGCATCATTTGCTTAGTCTTTTATTTGCCTTTGTTGACAAATATTCTTTAAGGTCACTGTTATGAATTCTTTAACAGTTCATAAATCTCCAATATTGGTCAGATATTGGAGTTATATTACTTTTCTTTGCCACTATTTGCCTGATTCTACACTATCCTTAATTAGCACAAAATCCTCATATCAACATCCAAATATTTTAAATTGAAGTAACATTGATTTACAAGAGGTGGCCAACAAGAATGCATATATTTACATAGTTTAGGGGTCAATGTTACCATGGCACCACAATTTGAGTTTGTGGTCTCCTTCACACTTCTTCTTTTTCTTTTCTTTTCTTTTTTTTTTTCTTTTTTGGGTCACACCTGGCAACGCACAGGGGTTACTATTAGCTCTGCACTCAGGAGTTATTCCTGGTGGTGCTTGGGGTACTATATGGGATGCTGGGTATCAAGTCCTGGTTGGCCGCATTCAAGGCAAACACCATACCCTCTGTACTATAGCTCCAGTACCTTCTTTACACTTATTATGTTTTCTTTGGCAAAGATGTTTGCCCCTCGCCAACTCAGAATCCCCTGGCAGAACCATAGACTCAGAGGATCCTGTGGGTAGTCTATGTAGCCACAGGAAGGAAGGAGCAGTGCAGTCAACATGAGTTGTTTATCTTTGCCTTCTAGTGGTCTCGAGGTCTCTGTGCAGGAGAGGGAACTTCAGCCTTATTTCTCAGTGGTGTCTTGTGTGTGAATAATTATTATTTTTTTGAGGGGCAGTGACCTGTGTGGCCTATGATGATTTCAAAACTATTGTGATTTTTGTTTTTGATCAAGGTATCCAGGATTAGATCATTCCTATCAGGTGAATTGATTTATGATGTAGGTGCTAATTGGAATATTACAAAAAGAAATTAATTGCACCAATAAATGATGTTGCACTAATTGGATATTGAGACTTACACAAAGCACATACTTTGCTCAAAAATAATTTCAGATGCATTCTGAATATAAACCTGAAGTGTGAAACCACAAAGTTTTGAGAAGCAAATATCGAAGTATATAGAGTGAATATTGCTCCACTAAATATTTTACCACAGATGTTTTATTTAAATATCTTACACAAGATATTTTATTTAAAATCTTATACAAGAATAAATTATCCTTAAGAGAAATGATTAAGTTGAATTTTTATTCTAATTTAGAGATTCTATTCACCAAGATACTATTCACAATGTGAAAAGACAAACTATGGAGACTGGAGGGATATTAAAAATGTCTACAAGTCAATAACTAGATTTTTAAATGGAATAAAATACTTTACAGAGAGTATATTAAAATGACCAATAAGCATATGAAAAGGGGTCAAATTCATTAGGAATCAGAAAATGCAAAAAAATCCCACAAAAAACTAGGAGACTCTATACCCCTAGTATAATTAAAACCAAGCAGAAATAGAAGAAACCCCCTAGTTTTGGTGGTGATGAAGAATAAATTTATTTTTTCCTCTCCTCTCCCCTACCCCCTTTTCCTCCCCTCCCCTGATCTCCTCCCTCTTCTCCCCTTCCTCCTCCTTCCTTTCCCCTCTTCCTCCTCCTCTCTCTTTTCTTCTTCTTTTTCTTTTCTCTTTTCTTTCTTTTCTTTTCCTTTTTCTCCTCTTCTCTTATTTTCCTTCTTATTAAACCACATGCTTCACCTCTGTCCATTATGATTTCACTTAATTAGTCCTTGTCATCAAAGTTTGTTCTAGGGAGCCATAGATACAATCAGAGCACGACCTCAGTCCAGTTTGTGCATTAGCCTCGTAATAACTGAATTTCTTAGAGTGCCAGAAGGAATGTAAATTAGGACTGCAACTTTGGACATCGTATTCTAACCACTGAAGCTGAACATACAGGTTGGGATCTAGTTTGCCTCCAGCATATAATCTAACAGAAATGTAAATCTTTAGCAAAAGATACAAACATTTCTGGCACCATTAATTGTAAGAGCCCTAAGCAAGAACCACCTGAGTGCCTTGAACAGCAGTGTGGCTGAGGGTATTGTGCATGCATACCCAACAGGAGGGAGATGAGAAACAATAGATTTCTGTCAAACACAATGGAAAGGGAGCTCTGATATTTTGTTGGGCAAAACATGACAGACACCCTGAATCCTACACAACTCTATGCATGTGACATTCAAAGCAAGCCAGATGAGACTTTGGTTATTGTAGTCAGAGCCGTTACCACTCTGTGGGGTCTTCATGGGAGAGAGCAGAAGGAAGATTTCTGGGTAACGTTTTCTATCTTGGTCTGAGTGAGAGGTATATTCATTTGTAAAGATTCTTTAAATTTAAATGTTTGCAAAGCTTAACAAAGCAACAGATCAGCTTGGGGTGGGGGGGGGGGGCAGTGGTAAACAAAATGTTGCGTGTTGCTAGGCAAGCTTTATTATTTTTTAAATTTAATTATTTTTTTTAAAAAGCTGTTCATGATTAGAGTTCAGTCATACAGTACTCTATCACCCATCACTCCACCAGTGTACATTTCCTAGCACCAGTGTCCCTAGGTTCCCTCCCATCACCCCCACCCCCCCCCACCCCCTGCCTGCCTTTACGGAAGATGCTTTTCTTTTCTCTCTCTTTCCTTTTGGGCACTGTGGTTTGCAATATAGATACTGAAAGGTTATCCAGAATATCCCGTACCTCCTTTTAACCTTCAGCTCTTGTTCAGCGTGATCAGTCCCAGCTATTATTGTCATAGTGGTCTCTTCTCTATCCACCCCTCTCGGAGAGCCCGGCAAACTACCAAGAGTATCTCGCCCGCACGGCAGAGCCTGGCAAGCTCCCCGTGACGTATTCAATATGCCAAACGCAGTAACAACAAAGTCTCCAATGGAGACGTTACTGGGCCCGCTCAAGCAAATCAATGATCAACGGGAGGGCCTTTACTTTACTTTTTAGCCTCCCACACACTTGTGATTAATTCCAAGCTAGGAAATCTTTAGTGGGGAGCACATTCTGTGGTGCTCAGAGCTTACTCCTGGCTCTGTCCTCTGGAATCATCTTGACATTACTTAGAGTAACATATGTGATACCAGGAATTGAACTAGGATTGCCTGCATGCAAGGCAAGTTTCTTAGCTCCTGTACTCTCTATTCAATCCTCTATGGGTTACTTTCTTCTTTTTAGTTTATTTTTTCTAAAAATTTCCAGTACCCATCTATTTTTATATTTTTTATTTGTATTTAATTTTTATATTTAATTTCGCTGTCACTGTCACTGTCCTCTCATTGTTCATTGCTCGAGCGGGCCCAGTAACATTGTGAGACTTGTTGTTACTGTGCTTGGCATATAGAATATGTCATGGGGAGCTTGCCAGGCTTTGCCGTGCGGGCAGGATACTCTTGGTAGCTTGCAGGGCTCTCTGAGAGGGGTAGAGGAATCGAACTCAGGTTGGCCCGGTTGGCTGCAATGCAAACGCCCTACCCACTGTGCTATCACTCCAGCCCATATTTAATTTAATTTAATTTATTTAATTTTTATATTTAATTTAATTTATATTTAATTTAATTTTTATATTTATTCATTTATTGGCCATACCCAGCAGTGCTCAGAGCTCACTCCTGGCTCTGCACTCAGAAATTACCTGGTGGGGATAAGGAGACCATCTGGGGTACCAGGGATTGAACCCAGGCCGGCCACTGCAAGTTTTGTACCCACTGCACTATTGGCTGACTCCAGTAAGCATTCATTTATTGTGCATTATAAAACGTGAAACAAGATGGGCCCTTTATCAACAGGAGGAAAGAAGTTTTATTGTTATTTATGAATAAACACAATATAAACAAGTTGAATATTGACCTAGAGTGTTCCAAGTCCAGCTCTACCTCCTCGAGATATATAACCTCAAGACCTCCATCACCCTCCCAGACCAACCTTTTCGATTTTTCCTCTCACCCCACTGCCCTCTGGTAACCCCTGTATCACACAGCCAGTTGTTTTTGTTATGATTGCTCAGCCCATTTGTTTTGGTTATTTATGATCACCTAAGAGAAGAGCTAACCAGTAATTATTTTTCACTCTTTGGCATACTTGGCTGAGACAATCCCCTCAAGTTTCATGATGCCAGGAAAGGCAAGATTTCCTTTATGAAAAGTAACTATGTTGTACTGCACACCATTATTTTTAGATGATAATGTTACTGATAGTTGCCAAGGACTTGAGAATATCAGTTCTCATTAGAAGGATGGCACACTATTTTGATTTATACAATTTCATGAAATTACCATTTTCCCTTTATCTATTTACATACAGTACATATTTATATTATTATGTGGCTCATTGACTAGCAGGATCTTAAATATTTTTGTTTGTATTGAAATACAAACACTTCTGAGTCAAACTGCTTAAATTCAGATTCTCTATCCAGTGCTTAATAAACATACTCTTATGGAAATTATGTAACATCTGTTGTTTAGTTTCCTATAAATAAAAAGAGACAAACATATTTTCCTTTTTAAAGCCTTACATAGAAAGTGCATGAGCTCTCCCTGTTCGTCCCCAATGCTGCGCCAGTCTTCTTCCCCTCCCAGGTCAGTTAAGCCGCCAGTATTCAAACTCAGCAATTGGCTTTCTTCGTGCAAGTGCCCCAGGCATACTCTAGGACTCAGGTCGCCCATCAGCTCTGAACTTCTTCCTGTTTGCTGAGCTGCTGTGCCCGTGTTCTTCCCTTCCCACCTGGTAACCCCCACCCCGCCCCCCACACACCAGGTACCTGGAGGTGTGGCATCTTCGAAAATGGGCGTGGCTTCTGTGGAAGTGGGAGTGGCCTAATGTAAGGCTGGCGTGGCTCATGCAGCCACAGGTAGTTTAGTCATACCAAGAAATCTAGTGTAACATTTTAGTCCTCACACCTCCACACCAACATGAAGAAATAATGCAAATCCCCATGTTGTGGGGGAGACAATAAAAAGAGTCCAGAAGCCTCAGTAGGTGCTACTCACCTAAAAGACCTCTCTGAGAAAGAATTCAGATATGAAGTCATGAAGATGTTTAATGTACTCAAGGAAACAGAGAGATATCCAGCAACATGACAGAAACAACCGAGAAATTATAGGAAGAGATGAGAGCAGAAATTGGAAACCTACGCACAGAAATGTCACAAATAAAAGATTCCATCGATGAAATAAAAAACTCAGTCTGTGCCCTCAACAGTAGAATGGCCACAGCTGAAGACAGAATCAGTGAGCTGGAAGATCAGCTGCACAAAACCAATAGGCAACAATAAACAATGGCAAGAGACCTCAAAATAGCTCTAGAGCAAATCAGAGTCCTAGGAGATGATTCCAAGAGGAACAACATTAGAATCATTGGACTACCAGAAGGGCAGGAAAACAATCCCAATAAAAAAGCTACTGTAAAACAAATCATTGCTGAGAAATTCCCAGAGCTGGACAATGTAGCCATTCAGATTCAAGGAGTCCGAAGAGTACCAGCTAAAAGAGACCCTAAAAAAACACTCCAAGACATATCATAGTTAGAATGATGGATGCCGCTGAAGAAACACAATACTGCAAGCAGCAAGGTCAAAGAAGGAATCCACATACAAAGGAGCACCCCTTAGAGTCACAGCAGACCTATCAGAGAAAATCCTCCAAGCCCGAAGGCAATGGTGGGATATAGCAAAAAAAAACTCACTGAAATGAATGCTTCACCAAGAATACTCTATCTGGCTAAACTCTCACTCAAACTCGAAAGAACAGCACACTATTTTCAAAATAAACAGCAGCTCAGCTTCATAGACTCAAAACCAAACCTAAAAGAAGGACTAAAGGGGGTACTGTTAGACAAGAAAAACCCTACAAGCACAACAGACCCTTACAGAAGATGACACAAAACCCCATAACAATAAACTCTCTCAACAGAAACAATCTAAATTCACCAATTAAGAGACACAGAGGGGCAAAATGGATTCAGAGACAGAACCCAACATTCTGCTGCCTTACAGGAAACTCATCTCAACAGTCAGAGTAAACACAGACTCAAAGTTAAAGGATGGAAAATAATCCTGCAAGCAAACAGCTCCCTCAAAATTGCTGAGGTGGCCATACTAGTATGCTACAACATATATTTCAGGTTGGAAAAGATTAGAAGGGACAGCCAAGGCCATTTTCTATTCATCAAAGGATACGTACAACAGGAAGAAATCACACACTTAAAAGTTACGCAGCTAATGAGGGAGCAGCTAAATATTTAAAACAACTGCTAACAGATTTTAAGGAGGACATTGCTAGCAACAAAATAGCAGCTGGAGAATTCAACATTGCCTTATCACCTCTGGATAGATCAACAAGAACAAAACTTAGCAAGGAAACATTGGCTTTGAAGGAAGAAATAGAAGAGAGAGGGCTTATAGACCTATACAAGGCTTTACACACCAAAAAGAAAGAATATGCATTTTTTCCAGTGCACACGGAACATTTTCCAAAATAGACCATGTGCTAGGACACAAAACATACCTTAATAGAATCAGGAAGATATAAATAGTATCAACAATCTTTTCAGACTAGATGCACTGAGAATAGAAGTGAATCACACACAGACACACCAAAAAGAAAGAATATACATTCTTTTCCACACCAAAAAGAAAGAATATACATTCTCTTCCAGTGCACACAGAACATTTTCCAAAATAGACCATGTGCTAGGACACAAAACATACCTCAATAGAATCAGAAAGATAGAAATAGTATCAATAATATTTTCAGACTAGATGCACTGAGAATAGAAGTGGATCACACACAGACACAGAAAACCAAATCAAA